TTAACAAAGTAGCCCAATGATCATCCGTAAACTTCAAATTTTCAATCAAATTACACAACTGACACTTTCAATCTGAAATCATATCTAAAACATCACCTTATAGACTTATCAATTTCATTTTTAAATGCATGATAGTTATCACATCTGTTCTTCTTATCCGTCAACCTAGCAATATCCCATATGCGTGATTGAAACATTTGCCTCTTACCATCAGCAGATCAATGGACGGTTTGGACTGGTGAAACAAAGAAACATTGAAAAAGAGGATTTCACTTGGAAGAGAAGAGATGGCGAGAGATAATGTGATCTAACACAAATTAAATGTCTATGCAGCATACCCCGTATAAAAAAACTAATAATTACGTAGTTGGACCGGCCTAAAAACAAATCCAAATCCACAGCATACATAAATTACTAAACCATCGGCTAAATGGTGAAGATGACTTCTCACCTTTCGTAGCCCTCCCAAACAACACTGGTGACTGAATTACACACTTTTCTCCCGAACCCCATATGTGATTAAATTGAAGCATCTCCTAGCTTCCTACACCGTACCTCAATGGTCATTGGAAGTTGAAACCCTCCACCGCCATCCCTAATCCATTGGTTACCGCTACTTATCCTAATCCGGACGCGTTTGCATCAGCTAACCAAATTTAAAATTTTACACCACCTTGGCGAACACCAATGGTCTCCGAAAGTTAAATAGCAAAGTACCGTCAGTTTTGAGGTATTTCTACAAAATCAGTGCAATGCTATTTCGTAGCTTCTGCCAACCAACACCAACAATCTTATACGGAGTATACGAAGTATGGGACCAACATTTGGAATTTAAAGATCTGGAGAAGTCCAAACATTGTATTAGGAACATCATTTAATGTGCTTTTTAATCATATCACTGAGACCGTAAGACGCTTTGGAATTGCTACAGGCGGTTCTAGAAAATCAACTTGCAATTAATGAATCAATTTATTAGTTAATTTATTAAACAAATTTAGGCCATGGCCGCTGCTAGTTCCCGCCCAAATGGTTGAAGACTATTGCGTTTTTATATATTATATAGATTAGTCACATCGTTGTTTGTTGAAACCTAAGCAAACCCAGAAATCCATTTTGATTCATTCACATGCGTAATCAGAGAAAATATAAGATATCAAATCTATTTTATCAAGTCTGTGACTTGAGTAACTATTTTATAGAGTATAAAACTTCTATTTCAGATTGCTATGATTTCATATTTACAAATAGACTGCTAAATACTTTGATGAATACTATTTTATTTAAACTGCAAAAAACTACCATTGGTTGATAAATTGTATCTACTTTAGCATTTTGGGTAAGTAAAATAGGTAAAGTATTTTATGAGACTTTTGGAAACAGTATTTCCTTAACTTCATTGAAAAAATTAAAACAAAAAGAATAAGAGATAGTTACCTCTTTGAAGAAATAAAGTAAGCCGAATACAAAAAATAAACCTTTTGCACTCGGCTTCTTGACTTGAGGTTTTGAAAGTGGCTTTAAAAGTTATATGTTAATTGCACTTTCAATGCAATGGACAAAAGTAGTAGTGTCCTTAACAACAACACTTCTTGTTAATCTTTGAAAGATAAGAACACTTCGCAACTTCAACAACTAACACAAACACCACAAAATTATTCAAAATCGTATAATCAATATCTTATACTACGTAATATAAAATATTTTGGAGCTGGTATTGCCATTCTTACATGCACACGTTTGATATTGTACTACTTACTTCTTTTTGGTAGACATCTTGACAGAAATGCAAGAGCCAGATGAATTTTTCAAATATCTCTAGTTTGAACAAATAGATTTATTTTTCAAACGTCCTCGAAGAAACTCTAGGATACCTACTATATTTGCTAGCATTCACGCACCATACAGAAATAGAATTAAGATCATTTTATATATTAGGTGAAGTGTCATTACCTGATCCCACTTATATATATGAGTGTGCATTTTGCAGGTGTTTTGCTGTTTATTCTTATATAGTGAATGTAGATGAACTTGTTAAAGACTACTAAGAAATTTCGTTGTGCAGGGATAGATGCATGGTTTGTGATGAAGTTGCTTTGTAATGGACCTCTATTTATACGAACAACAAAGGGTGTTCCTCTTAGAATACAACTGTCCGTAGTACAGCGTGAAGACATTAATTGCTTTAGGGTGTGTTTGCGGTTGCTTAAAAAAAGTGCTTTTCAGCTTTTGGCTTAAAAAAGTTAAAAAGAGTGTTTTCAAATGACAACTTCTGCTTAAATTAATCACTTAAAAGCTAAAAGTTGGAAGCAGGTGGAAGGGTGCTTTAAACTGCTTTTCACTTTTTCTATTACACAAAAAGTACTTATTTTACCAAACACTACTAACTTTTACTTTTTCAGAATCACTTTTTTCTCAAACACTACCAACTTTTACTATTAATCACTTTTCCCAAAATCACTTTAAAAATCACTTTTTTAAAGTTGAAGCAATTGCAAACACTCCCTTATATTTGTTGCCGCCCAAAAGTCTTAAAGAATTTAATTTTTGTAATTATTTTGTTTCAATTGGTAGTGTTATCTAGTCGTTTATTGAGTGAATTATTTGAAGTGGTATCCGAACTCTTTGTGAACTCTTCCAAACACACCCAAGCTTTTTACTCCGTATTAATCATGGACATAGAGATGCTTTAATTAGTCATTTAGCCGCCTCATAATAATAAATACAATTGGAAATTTGAAAAGATACTTCAAGCAGTGCTTGTATTTATTACTCCGTAGCCCAAAAGCATATTAAATGCATTAGTCTTTTAGTATGTTGTGCTAATATTTTATTAATCAATATGACTGTTATACCAAAAGACACCTTGAATGTCTCGGCATTTATCTACCGATTTGGCCGCACATTTGAAATACAATCCTCCACACGGTCCATATATTTTCTAGGAACATTTTTTCCCGCCCATACCCCGGCCCTTTGGCCTTCCTCCTTCAGACTTTTCTGTTTTAATATATATATAGATATAGATTATTAGTTTGTAGTCAAGGCTTTATTCATACCGTAAAAATCACGATGTCAGAAGCCTAGATAATCGGCACGCCAATTAATAAGGGATTAATTATGCGCATTGATCAATCCCAGGAAATCATTTAATCATGCAAACAAGATCGACCGAAATAATAATACTTTTACACGTCGAATAAAATAGGACTGTTATGTTTTCTTCACGAAATAGAGGTAGTACGAAGCATTCAACATAGAAGTATTCACTATTAATATTTTTCAATTGTAACAGTATTTTTCAATCATAGCAGTAACGACTCTTATTTCGTAAAAAAAAACATAGTAGTTTTATTTTGAAATTTAAAAACCTATTTACTCCTATTTAGAGAAACTTCCCGAGAAAAATTAATACATAAAGTTATATTGTTAAAAGATCATTGAACTTCATAATTAATCACATCCATTAATGAAAATTTGATAATTTCAGCTATCATTTCATGAACTCTAATTTATAATGAATGATATTAAAATTTTATTGTACACAATTGTAAATAAATCAATATGAAGGACTAGACAAGAATTCAAAAGTGATGAACCATACTTGTTTCAAAGTACAAATTATAATAGCTAGTATTATGTAAAAGAACCATAGTAAAACTAAAATTAAATTGTGAAGAGATAAGTTGCATATTTAAGCAAAAGTAAGAAGTAGTAACACACGCGATTATAAAATACTCCGTAGAAGGTAAAATGGAAGCGGAATCTTTTAACAAAATTTTTGCAATCAATAATCAATAATTAACTTCGCTATTCTCCACTCTCTTTATACTTTTTCTTTCAAATGATTTTAGTATAAACAAAATAGAAATTTTATCAGAAAAGATAAATGAATTATCAATACGGCTTATATCTAAAGATTAAATGTATTGATACAAGACCTGAATGATTGAAAACTAACAGTCTAAAACCTGGATTGTCATAACTCATAAGTTAAAGTTTTATTATTTTTTATTTTTAAATTTTTAATATTATTTAGTTTTATTAAACTAATAAACTTCTGCGAAGAAAAATTCAACAAAAGTTTGCAATCAAATTAATAACAAATTAAATTAATCAAAACATATGTAATATTAGGCATTTGATTGATAATTTTCAATCATCCCGATCCTATATCGACACAATTAATCTTTTAGAACCAATTGAGAACCAATTGAGAAAATTATATCCGACACATAAAATTAGGCATTTAATCAATAGTTCATCCATTTTAAAGTACTGAATTGGTAAAATTCCAACAAAAAACTATTGAGATCAAAAGAATGAAAAAGTTGTTACTCATAGCATAATACTTCCTCCGTCCCAATATAAAAGGTTCATTTTTTTTGGGCCGTCCCAATATAAAAGACACATTTCCTTTTTTGGAAAACAAAGCAGTGCTAAATAGTGTCAAACAGTGCCAAACAATGTCTAAACAGTGTCTAAACAGTGTCAAAAGTGTTCCTCCTAAAAATGTTTGAAAACACAAATATGTTATTTATATTGGGATGGATGGAGTAGAAAATTGTGCCTCTATTTTTATTAGGCATAATGTCGTCGCCTTTTTGCCTACTCCTATGACTGGACCTACATCTAGGGCTTCAAAACTTCTAAAGACGGCCCTACGCATTAGCCCGTCGTGGCCCTCAGTGTTTTAAAAAATGCATTAAAACTCATATGCTATATTTAATTACTTGCATATATATTATTATGTATGAAGTTGAAAGTTAGCACTAAGTAGCTACATATCATGTGTCCTAATATTATGATTAAATATGTAAATTACTTCATCAAGATCTCTACGTTGTATAAAATACTATACTTGTTATATTCAATAGTCAAATCTATTCCTCAGAGTATAATCTAAATAACAATTAATTACTCCTATAAAATTATTATTAAGATCACAGAAAGCTGATGCATAAAATTTGGATATCACAAAACCTGTAGGAAAAGTGTAGACAGATTGATGGTCTTGGCAAATCTTAGGCGGATTGATGTTTAATACTTTTGTGGAAATAATTGAATATAACAACACACTTTCATTGATCAGTATGAAATAAACAAATAAAGTTAGGATTCAAACCTCCTCATGAGAACTCAGAACCAAAGTCCAACACTTTTTAAAAAAGGGGAAAAAATACCATTGAAGTTTTACATTTACATGCTTGTTCCATGCTCTATATCTTCAATGTAGTTCTTTTGTTTCTAAGAATCTGAAGATGGAAGATAAATTGCAGATTCTTCTACATATACATAAATATATGTATATACATGTGTGTGTATACACACACATACATACATGTATTATAATGATGATCCAGTGATAGAAACCTCTACACCATTTCCACCAATACCAGCAATTAGACACTCAAACCCACAGGTCTCTAGCTCCGCAATCACCTTATCAACAATTGTTCCTGATAGGACTGATTTTTGTTAAGGAAATATCTATATTATGCACTACAATTTTAATACTTTTTAGAGTAGTTCATATGCATATAGTAGTTACATACTTACATATATGGTGTACATGCAGGACTTATTCATGCATTATTTTAACAATATGATAAAATTATGGAAGTGTGATGCAAGGACTTAAGAGAGAGTTTCACATCACTAATTCAAACTACTCAAATTTTACTATAAATGAAAGCAGAAAGAACACTTGTCAGTTGTCACTTTTCTACCCTTTACGAGGATGGGAATAGTAAAAGGAAAATCATGTGTATCACCTGAAAAATTCAAGGAATGAATTCATGCTAGATCAGGCGTTCTGATACAAATGTCTCATTTTTACTGTTCATAGTGTTCCATCATTTCAAATGGAGCCAAAGACTCGCTACTTTTTGGCTTGAGAATATGGAGTAAAGCAAAATGGCTCCATATTCTCTCCGTATCAAATTACTTGACCCACTTTTAAACTACTACCTCTGTCCCACTAACATTGTGACATGAGGAGGTAGTGCGGTTATTAAGAAAAGTGAGTTGATGTAATTGCTATTGAATGATAAAGTAAGAAATTAAGAATAAAGTATGAATCCATTTATAATCACACAAACTTTACAAAAATTGCCATGGACAATCTTAATGGGACGGACCGAAAAGGAAAGATGAGACAATCTTGGCGGGACAGAGGGATTAATAATTAAAGCAATTTTAGTTCAGGAAAATCATGCTACAGTTTGATGGTGGAAGCTTTCAACTCATGATTGGGATTGTAGATGATGGATAATGAATTAATGAGTGAAAACGAAAGGTATGGAAGATAATAAAAAAGGATACGAGTTGGTAGTAGTGTTAAAATGCAACCTCCTCCACCAGCTCCAGTTAACTTGGAAGGTAGTTTGTACTTTTCTGTTATTCGAAGCACAGTTTCTATAGAAGAATGACTAACACCCATGCACTGAAGCAACCCTTGGTTCATCTCCATCAGTTCTCCCAATTTTTCTTCCTTCTCAGTTATTGCAAGATCATCAGCAACGGGTGTCTGGACAATGGAAGCTAATTCGTTACTAATGGAATCTACTGCATTAAAAACTGCAGCCATGGTACTTGGATGCCTCATTGTCCTCTCTGAGACACCAGCTACTAAGGTCTTCGTATTTCTGCCAACTTTTGTGTTGGTGATTAGCATTTTAATTGGCATGTTAGTCTTGAGGCAAGTCAAATCACCCGACTTAAATTTGATCAAGTTCCCTGCCACACAAAAAAGTAAAATAAAAAAATTAGCTTCACAGGTAGTGCTAGAATGTATTGCACTTATGGTTATCCCGAGACTGCTAGTCATTTCCAGATTTGGTCCCCGACTTTCAGTATGATCATAAGATACCATCCTCATAAAGCAATATACATACAGATAGGAAAAAAGGTATCATGAGAACAGTTCAGTAGCATACCATATGTGCTTACTGTGTTATCAACCCCAGATGGCTTTCCGTGGATAATCTTTTCACCTTCAAATGCCCATTTGTTTACCAACTCCAGTTCATAGTCTCTAAATATTTGCCAGCCTTGGTGGCTGAAATCTAAGCTAATAGAGTCTGACAGAGAAAGCATGGCAGCTGAAAGTGCAACACAAAGGGCAGCAGATGATCCCAGACCTGCACCCATCGGGAGTTCAGAATGCACAACTGCTTTTGCTGGCTTGCATCTGATCATTATCGCCAAATACAGAAGAAGAAAATTCATCAGATATTACAAAATGATTAAAGCTAACAATAACGAGATCGAGTTTACACAGAAGAGTTATTACAGATATAGACATTCAACTACGTAACTCAATTTTGGTCTTTGACTATGAAATTTGGACCCAACGTCCCAACCAAGTCCTTAATTCCTTATACATATCAGGTCCTAGAAGAGAAGTGTATATTTGTTGGTCAACTAAATTATACCCAATGCAGACATAATTCGCCCCCCGATTATGTAATTTGAACCCAACTTATTACAAAGCGACAAAGCGTACAAAATTACTTTTCTCAATTAGAGGAAAGTATGTAAAGACTATATTAAGTTTAAATTGCATGATCGTGAAAAAATTGAGTCCAACTGTCCAAACAAAGACAAAGACCAACTTCAGTAATGCTGTATAGTTGAAGGATCAAATTGTGTATTCATTCTTTGTAGAAAAATATAGCAAAGTTACACACCCATGAATGGAGGTGTACAGCCACAGAAAAGCTGAGACACCAGAAACAAGCCCACTCTTCTCCTCAGGAATTTTCTGTTCTTCTACCAATGAAGCAATCGATTTAAGTGTTTCCAATGAACACGACGAGGGAGAGGAAGCAACACTGCTATCAAGGTTAGGAAAAGCATCTCTAATTCTTACAACTGGCCAAGAAAATTCCAAGGACACATCATTTAGTTGGAGCGTCAGTGATTCCTCATTATCTGGTCCCAAAGTATTCAATGAAACAAGTCATAAACAAAATCAGGCTGTCATGCTATACACTATCAATTGTTGTGAACAACAAAGCATAACAATAGCACCTGAGCGCCTGACTGCAATTCTATAACCTTCAATTTATGACAGTCATTCTAATCTACTGAGGACAAGAAATAGGCAATAGATAATGGCTATAATTTCCCTTTAAAGTACCATTTTCCAACGTTCAAAATCATGTATGAATTAGTTGAGGCAGTTTATAAGGATTGTACAAGTGTCGATGGGAAATTCCGAACACACTAAAAAGTTTGAAGCTACGCATACATGAGACTTGTAAATATAGTTCAGTAATGACCACTTACTAGAGGGGTTACACAGGCTAAGGGTGACGTAGGTATAAAGATCGATGGCAGCTGCAACAGCAGTGGATCCATGCACCACCGCATGTTCTCCAGCAAGTATGATTTTCGCTGGCGCTCTAGCCCTCACCTCCATCCTCTCTGTTTCTTGTGTACAATGTGGAGAGCAACACTAAATCCCTCTAAAACTTGGAGAGCAACTTTAAATCCTCTCTCTCACGTGTGCACAATTATGGGCTCCTGCAAAACACGATTGTCATTTACGAAATTACGTGGTGAGTAATTATTATACCCATTTATTATCTAAATAACGAGCAAGTATTTGTCAAACAAAATACAATTTTGTACCCATGAACAAATGATATACAACACACACATATATGAATGAAATACCACACTCTCACACACACATTCATACTGGCGGACACAGCATATAGAAAGAGATATGTGCCAAAATTAAATTTTCAACTGGTAAATAATATCTCAAAGTCTTTTCTGCCACCTGAAAGACCAAATATCACCTCTATAAGAGATACTTTTCCTTCACATATACGATTTACCATACGACAACTTCTACACATGTCCGACAAACAGGGCCAAATTCCATTCACTCGTCAAATTTTAATTCCGCTGTTCCTTCAGTTGAGCAATAATTAAATTTCAATCTCAACCTACTAAGTAAGAGCTCCAATTCTAATATCTGACAAAAATACTTCCAATTCCAATCAATCCTAATAATCAAACTTCCAATTGTAACAAATTATAAACTGAAAAACTTAAAATTTTTATCAAAGTCAAAACGAAAAAATTGGCAAACTTTAAAGATAAAAGAGAGGTTAACCGTTGCGTGGAATGGGTATAGGAACAACGGAAAGCCTGGTCGGCTGTCGGCACGGCGGGGGGTCACGATTCAGTGGACGACCTGGCCGTCAACTGGGTGGACGGTGGAGCAATGGCCTGCTCGTGACTGCGGATTTATCAGAAGGCTGTTCCGGCTACTCAAGACAAGGTCGATTTGTTGATTTGATATTCTGCCGCGGAGCTCTGGACATGACTGTATCAGATCAGCTTGCTCATGCTACTGGTCTTTGATGAAGATTCGTTAAAAGGTACCAACGGATGGACATATCCACATATGCAATTTCAGCCGACCAGTTGTATAACCTCACCGAACAGATTTGATGAAAACCTGTATGACTGGGAATGGGTACGGGCGGGGATACCCAATTTTTTTAAACGGATAATTGTGCGGTTATGGTCTATACTAATCCACCCCGTTATCCGCCCCTAAACCGCCCGTTCACTAATGATGCGGGTACCCGCACCGACGTACCGTTATCCGATCCATAACATTATTAATAAATTATAACTTTTTATATATAAGAATAATAAGTATATATGCTAAATGTGTATACTAAATTTTACGTAGTATATAGGAAAAACTGTCAATTTAGTACTTGTACTTTCATGAAAAAGTTAATTAGACCCTCGTACTTTTAAAAGGATCAATCAAATCCCCGAACTTTGTAAAAACGTTCAATTGAGTCCATTTGCAGGCTACTTGCCATGTCAGCAAATGGCTGGCCGGACTTCCACATGTGTGCCACGTCAGCAAAATTATTGCTGATTGGTCTGCCACATGTGTGCCACATCACCAGGTGACTTGCTAACATGGCATATAACCAGCAAATGCACTCAATTGAACGTTTTTACAAAGTTCAAATATTTTATTGATTTTTTAAAATGTACGAGGACCTAATTGACTTTTTAATGAAAGTACGAGGACTAAATTGACAGTTTTCACTAGTATATATCATATAAGTATATAAAGAATAATACACCAAAAAAGGCCCACTTCAAAAAACCCTAACATCCCGAGTTCTGCGGATTACGGCTCAGGAGCTCAAGGCTCTACGCCTCTGCTTAGAACGGCAACAACTCTCTTCATCGTCTTCGATTCTTTTAGGCCTAAAACAGTGTTTTTACGATGGATTACTACTTTTTTAGGTCTAAAACTAAATATAGGCCTAAACTTGTTTTTGGAATTTGGATTCTGGGATGATTACTACTTTTTTATTAAGTTACAAGAGATATTAGGTGCATGTCAGACTATTGAATTTAGGCCAGGCTGCTTGATTGCTTAAATATTTACTTTTGTATGTTTTATGGTGATTTGAATATATAAATAACAAGTAGGATTAAAAATTGGTTATTTGGTATCATTTGGGCAAACGGTTATCCATGGATAAATTGATTCCCCATTGGGGCGGGTACGATTCAAATAAAAATTACCCGAACGGGTAATGGGGCGGGTACGGTTCAAATTCGTTTCGGTTTTATGTGTATCCATCCCCGATCCGCCCCGTTACCATCTCTAATTCACATGAAAGGTACCGGATTCGGACCCCACCGAATGGGACTGGATTCGGGTTTGCCGGATTCGGGTTTGCAAAATAAAACGGATGGATATATGCAGTTGCTTATGGGGAAGATTGAAGAGCACCTAAACTTGGGGTGAGCATAAAAATGGTTCCAGTACTGAACCGGTCCGCAATGATACCGAATCAAATATTGGATATTTAAATAGTTCTATAGAATTTTATCTCGAACCAAAACATACCGTTTCAAATAGGCACGAGATCGGTTCAAGATTTTGAGATTTTTATCCTAGACCGTTAAAAAATGATGCCAAATGAGATTTTTATATTTTTCCATACCAATAAATATCTTTTATAGACCAAGTTTGTATTCATGCATTCCTAAAAATGGTATATGTGTGTAATGACTATTGGTATATAAGTGAAAGAATGCTAAAGTTTTAAAAATCATTAATGTCTATTAGTTTCTAGTAATGTAGTGTATATGACTTTTTGTTGTGTCATATTTTGTGTAGTTTTACAACTTAATTAATATGGTCTGAATCTTAGCTCTTACAGTTCAACTATGAATTAAATTAGAACAAATATTTAACTTAGAACAAAGAAGAAGAACGCTAAGTTTTCCTATTACATTCATCAATTTAATGATTTTTTTTTTCACATGAATTTAATATAGATGATAGTATACTAGTGTATCATTTTGCTATATTTTTACTTAATTGTGTTGCACTATTTGAGTTGTTATGAAATTTAAATACAAAAATGTCAACCTATTGAATCTTTTCTAGTACTACAATATTTAGTATGTACTTTCTTGTATTTTTATCAACATTCCATGTGAATCGGCCGGTGTGAAGATATCTACCAATTGCAAGATTTGTCCAAATGTTTTGACATGTGTTTGATATTGTACTGAACTGTTTCATACTGTTCTGAAACTAAATGGTACCGAATGGTTCCATCCTTAAAACCGGACCGTATCGAATGAAACCTCACAGGGTCATTACGGATTTTGCTAATTTACCGGATCACCATGCCCACCCCTAACAACTTTTCTTTGTAAGACCTATCCTTCTTTAATAAAGAAGTTCCATTTTTTGGTCCTGTGAATTTTGTGTCAATTTCACATTTAATCCACGTATTTCAATTTATCAATTTTTAATACTTAATTAATGTTTTTCGATCATTTTTTATCCTTTTTTGGCGATTTTAATCACCGAAAACATTGGCAGAATAATTATATATGAGCGAAAGCACACTAATCATGTACCAAAAATAGTCAAAGTCAAATTAAAGACGTGGAATAATTTTGAAATTGGTGTGATACTCCGCATAACCAAAAGTGAAATTTATTCTTCTTTAATTGCAATACTCTGACTTTCGCGTTTATCAATGCACTTTTTTGCAGTAATTATATTTAATTACGTATTAGTAAACATTATAAAGATTTAATATTTGGGAATTCACATAAATCAAAATTTAATTATATTTCATACATAATAATTTGATGAAAATTAATAGAAAATCATATCATGCTTAAAGTAGGTGTGTCAATAGTGTAAAAATCACAACATTGCAACTATTAACAAACTCAAAAATCAGAATCGGGCAGTAAAATTTAATTTCTAAATTATACACCATTAATGATCTACTCCGATCCACATAATTCTCTCTTCTTGATATACCATTAATTGAGATATCGTATGTGCATGACATTCAATATCCACAAAAGCCTCTCATTTGAGTTTTCATTTCTAAGAAGAAAAACCAAAATATAGAGAGAAAATCCCAAAGTTTAAGATGTTTTTGTAAACTGATTGGTTGACAATTGACATACAATTTAACATGCATCAGTGCATGATACAAGGCCAATCTCAAATAATCAACATATGTTGTAATTTGCAAACAAATAAGATGTTTATTGTACATATTCACTATCCCCCTGCCCCTACCCTTCCAAAGGCATGTTGCATTCACCTTTAGGCTTTAAGCTTCTTTAAAATGTTTCTGCTACACAATTTCTTTGCTTCAACTTTGTTACGGGCTGTGCACGACTCCTTGTAAATAACACCGTTTGCATCTACCTCCATCGTAATGGATGCAATTCCATCTTCAAGAGTGATGAAAGGTTTCTTAATTGTATAATTTTTACTTCTACACAAGTCATATAACTCTCTCACCGGATGGAAAGTAATGGTTTCTGGAGTAACTAGAGGCTCCAAAAGAGGAACAATGCATTCATAAACTTTATCCTTATTGAAACCAGAGTCAATAAGGATTGCCCCTGCAAGCGACTCGATAATATCTCCTAGTACCTACACAAGATGAACACCCACAAAAGAAAGAAACTAGTCAGCAGCCACAACAAGAAGATATATATAGAAGAGTAAGGACAAATATTTTAGCACATGTTTGAATCTGAAAATACATCTACTTGTGCTATTCCTCAATAGTACAAAAGTGTAAGCTCAATGATTCTATCCTGCCTAACAGCTCTCCAAATTCTTGAATCTTTTTCTGATTAATTAATATCTCATGCAACTTTTCCACTTAAGGTGTTAAGAGAAGTCAAGATATACCGTATTACTATTTAATTCAATACTGAACACAAATGAATAAGGCTGTGCTTGGAACCCAGGAAATAGTAGGGAAACACAGGAAAATACAAAAGAAAATGTGTCTTTGATCTTTGGTTGACCTTGGTAGATATGACAAAAAATCCAATTTGATTAGTTTTACTTTTTGCATGTATTCACATACCTAGGACTTCATATGATTTAAATCTTTAACCAAATGAGTTTGAACTAATATAACTCCGTTGAGAGACCATTTTTTGGTATCAAGTGTATCCGTGATGTGGTAGACGCGTGACGACAACATTATAACTTAGTCACATCGCATGACATGAATCGAAATATGAATATCGCTAGACAGTGAAGTGGAGGGAGAGTATCCATGTGGAGGATTGATCCCTTTTTATCTTTTTTAATCCGATTTCATATGTTGATTCATGTCAAATCTCAAACTCTTTTGGGACTAAGAAGCTGCTCTGTTCGTCTTATTCTTATTACTTATTGCTTATTCTTATTTTATTTAGATCATATAAAAAAAATTCAAATCAGATCAGATCAGAATGATTAAGATCAGATCAGGTCTGATCATAAAGATTCAGATCAGATCGGAAAATATCTGATCAGATCAAATCAAAAAGATTCAGATCAGATCGGAAAAATTCTGATCAGATCGGACCAGAAACATTCAGGTCATGCAAAGAAAACAACTTCTAAGGTTTGGATGTTGTTGTTATAGAGTTTGAATTAATTGGATTATCTAAACTTGACAAATACAATTTAGAGTTTTTATCTCTCTCTACTTTCCTCCCTTTTTCCCCAACATTTTTCGGTGTTTCAAACAAACCCTTAATTGGAGTATCTAAACTTCATGCATGTGCATATTACTATTATCGATTTTAGCATACCTTTGGGAAGCTTATATCTAATTCCCATCCGAAAGTCGAGGAAATGGACAACTTTTCAACACACTCAACAGTGTCTGTTATATGCTTCTGAAGCATGGTGGAAAAATAGAGAACTTGCTTTTGTAGTCCAGCCTTAACAGCGCATAGAGCATAGCAGTCATTGTTGACTGAACAAGACCTCAGGTCAGTTAATAATCCAGGAGTCAGTCCAGGATGTTTATTATATAGGTGGACTGTGATCACATAATCCAGCACTGCATCTCCAATAAACTCCAGACGCTGCATAATAGTAACACAATAGGAAAACCTTTATAGCAAGACATTAGCAAAATTA